TGCAGCCATTCTGCTTGCTTAGAGATTGTAGGAATGAAAAATAATTCGAGAGTTAATGAATCAAATATATGCGATAATGATAGAAAAATGTTTACCTGATATCGCTCGTAGCTGTTCAAAATGCTGTTAAACCGTTGACATACGTTCGTCATGGAGCACAGGATTGTAAGATACGGCTGATGATCAAGAATTCGGTAGACAAGTTCTACCGGTAATGTAAGAAAACTGGTAACTGTTTGATTTGCCATTGTAGATTGTTGAAGAAAGGTATGCTCCGTAGCTTTATATGTTGGTTATATATATATTGTTCTCTATCTTATCATTAATTCAGTGGATATTTGTTTTGTTTCATAGATTTCAAATGATGTTGTAATTACTTAATCAAAGAAAAAAAAAACGAAAAAGAATGATATTAACTAGAACATGATAAAATCGAGATAACAACTGTGAGCAACGTTTTTGTTAAGATTGTTTTATTGATATAAAATGGTGCATAACAGATATGAATATTGTGTTCGCGGTAATAAACAAGAAAGATTAAATGGCTTTCTTTGTTATTTTTTTTTTGTTTAAAATCTATATTGTTTTTTGGTCGTAAAATCAGATTTACATATTTTATAAGATGGTATAGGATTTGTTCTCATGATACAGAGTCAGACGTGTGAATCAGAGAAAAAAAAGATCGTTACTTTCATCGGTGACAAATTTTACTATAATTCTATCTGTTGTTGGATAACTTTGTCTGAAATATTGAATTTTTTTTAAATACGATTATTTATAGAAATGTTTATTTCTTTTTATTAGGAACAGGAACATTGTAAATAGAAATGCTAGAGCTTCTAATCTATTAGAAATATCAAAATAGCGTAAATTAGTCAATAATAAGTATTTTTATTTATTTTATCTTCGTTTACTTATTTAATGCTGTGTCAAATAATCAAGCCAAGAAATAGTAAGTATGTTTATTTTGCATATTATTTTTTATATTTTAGATCATTTTGATTGATTAAATTGAACAATAATAAGCGCCTTAGTTTTTTTTAATTTTTTGTAAATAATTATTTTATTTTCATTTATTACAATTCATTCATTAATAAACAGTATTGTTTCAATGTTTCAGTTATTTTATTTTGAAAAGAAAATGCACCGATAAAGAAAGAATGCATAGACAAAAAAACAAAACCAATTATATTTATGCTATGTTGACCGTGAACGATCGTTTGCGATATCCATAATGTTTAATTTCTTTTTATACTGGCTCTTTTCCGAGGATACTAGCTGGATTAGCTAGTAGAAAAACAGAAAATGTTCAATACTCTAGTTAAGTGGGGCGTATCTCCCTCTCATATGGTAATTTGTTTCGACCATTTTGTAGAGCAAATAAAACTGCGTCTATCATAAAACTTTCATAAAGGCTTGATCTTTTTCGACACAATTACAGCCTTTATAAGTTATAGACCTTTTGGAACCCTTTACCAATTACCAATCTTGAAAAAGCTTCCTTATTTAAAACTTTAATTTGATTGAGAGTCAAAAGTTGTATCCATCATACAACTTTGACAACTATTGTACAAATATATATAGAGAAACAGTTATTTTCGTGCCCAACCCATTTTCACGTATCCTACAGTGACCTCCAAAAATCTTGCCTGAAATCTCAAAGACAAATTTCATACTACATCAGAACATCGAGAAAAAAACAAGTTTTGTATATGTGCTAAAAACAGAATAATACAAAACAGGTATTTCCGTGGAGATTCAACCACGCGCACAAGAGTGATTTTCGATTTTGATGAAATTTTTAAGGTATATCGAGCTTTTCATTACAAGCATTTAGATAAAAAAGGATTTGGTTTCTTCACATTTCGAGATAATTAAAAATAAAAGAATATTGTTTTAATAAATTTGTTATCTCGAATATGGTATTTATCTTTTCCCCAAATGTATGAAATATAGTCTTAAATCAACTTTTCTGTGGAAATTGCTTATTACAATCTGAGTAATAAATTGAAACTATAAAACAGTCGTGGCTCTGAGACAAAAGCTGAATAGAACAAACTTGCTTTTAGTTCATTCTATATATCTTTAGCAGACTTTGATAGCGATCTTATGATATTAAAGTTATTGGAATAGATCATTTGTTTCGAAAAAAAAGATTTAAAAAATAAATTTCAATGCCCTTCATGGGCATAGATTCTTTTTTAAATAACAAAAACATCTTTTTATTTATTTGTTTTTAGTAGAAAAAACAACAAAAACATCAAGAATCTTCAATCTTCGGTTCATTATTAGTTTTTCCTTCAATCCTCGGTTCATTACTAGCTTTTTCTTCAATTGTTAATTTTTCAATGATGTCATCTATAAAATGTAAAAAAGACAACTTAAAAAACAATAATTTTATAATTTGTTACTTACTAATCGTCGAATGATCGATATTTAATAATGACAAATAAAATTTTCTTGATGAATGACTTACAAATGGACGGAAAGAACTACGACCACGCCATGCAACAAATATTATTGGTACTTCAAGATTATGTTGTTTTATGGTAAATGTACATATTGTACTACCTAAATCTATTCGATGAAAAATTCACGAGCAAATAAACTATTTGAAAAAATATTTTCGATAACAAACCTTGCGACATATTTTCTAATTGTTTTTGTACTGATTGTGATACATTAGCATAATGTGTAAACGCATGTGACAAGAAATTTATTAAATCTTGTTCTTCTATTACAATACGACGCTTAGTGAAATATTTATTCACAATTGCAATGCCCTATATAGAACATGTGAATAAATTTTTAATTGAATTAAATCTATTTACTTCTTGTGAAAGTCTTAATGAACGTTTATCTTTATCATTACGTAAATCAGTTCGAACTAATAAACGAACACCCATATTAATAAACTAGAAAAAAAAAATACACGATCGATATTAATCAATGAATAAGCAAATAAAATAATGACTTTAATACGATCTTGATTTAAAGTAACAATTTGTTTAAGACTATCGGATACGAAATAAATATTTCGGCCACTATCAGCTGCATGTCTTGTCATCATTTGATCAGCTGGAAATGATGGATCAACACCAAAAAATTCACTGAGACAAAAAGATTTAATTAAATAAGTAATTTAAAATTAGAATTACCTAATCTCTTGCCAAAAACCTGTTATATCTTTTTCGTTGAAGAAAATAAATGGATTTTCACGATGATAACGAGCACGTTTAAAATTAGCTCTACAATAAATAAATCATATTTATCAAATTAATATTTTAAAATAATATACCCGTCTTCATTGAATGTAATTTCTTCTGCTGGTCGTTTTTGAGATGTTTCTTCCTGAGTTGATGATACTTCAACAGTTTTGTCAAGTTTACGAAAAAGAGCAACAAAAAAAGCACCAGTATTTTGATGATGAGGTAATAGACGTATACTAAAAGATAGAGAGAAGAAGTAATAGGATAGATTTTGCAATTTTTGAATAGCTAATGTATTCATTCTATTTCTAAACTCTAAAGCTATTTACCATCGTTCAAGATGTAATCGTTCTAAAATATCTTGTGAAGGTGGAAACATATTTGGTCGTGCTAAAGATTGCATATGTGGTGGTACTTCTTCATATGAATTATAGACTTCTTTATTTTTTCCCATAATACACCATTTTGTTAGGCCAGGTATTGTTTGTAAACCAGGTAATTTATCACTAATATCAACAAGTGAAATATGACCTTCGAATGTTTGTAATAATTGAGCAACAATAGATTCATTTTCAACAGGATTCATTGAACAAGTTGAATAAACCATAAGACCACCAGGTGCAAGAAGTTGAATACCACGTGTTGCAATACGTAATTGTATGGATTGTAAACTAAATGCATGACCGGGATTCCATTTTTTCCAGAGATCAGGATTTTTTCGAAGTGTTCCATCACCTGAACAAGGAACATCACAGAGAATACGATCAAATGATATATTTTCATCCTAATATATGTACATATAAAATTATATCGAACAGTACAAATAGAATGTCTTACATTAAATTTTAAATTAGGTAAATTCGATGCATCATGGTTAATAATAGCAAAACAAGGACTTTCTAATCGTTTAACTTGATGAACAAGTGTGTAACATCGTTTATTATCAACATCATTTGCAATAACAAAACCACCTTAATAATAAATAAAAATTAATGAGAATTAATTTTTAGGAGTATATATATGTACTTGGAATTGGATTTGTTTCATCACGATGAAGACATTCAATTATTTGAGCTGTTTTAGAGCCAGGAGCAGCACACATATCTAAAATCTAAGTTTGAAAATGATACAAATCAGTGATTCATTTTAAATCTTCATTCTATACTTTATGATGTGGTTGAATATCCAAAACTAAAGGTGGAATCATTGATACAGCTTCTGCAAATGATATAAATATATATATTCTATTTCTATTCCTATATTCATGATTTATTACCTTGACGACTGATATTTCCCTAAAAAGAAAACAAATAAATAGATATTAATCTTTGAAAACATGCATTATTTACATGTTCAGTTTGTTCATAAAGAAATTCTTTAAGTCTTTGTAATTCTGGAAAATTACGTAATTGATTTCGACTAAGATTTAATTGCCATGCTAAACTACCTGGATACCTAGTAATATAATTCTATTAGAAAAATGAAATATAGATATTTATCAATATAATACAAACCAGACAAGTTCTTTTGGTTTTTCAATTGCTGTAGATGATTCTAATGGTTGAAAATATCGTTCTCGAATAAGATGCATAACAGCAAATGCATGTGACCGAAAACCTGTTACACGAAAAGTAACTGGTAATGGTTCTTTTAATGCTGCTAAAAATGCATCCCATTCATTATCAGGTACAAGATGCATTTCCTATACATAAAATATAGACACAATATAAAATCTAAATATTTCTAATTTATACCTTATAATATTTTTCGAATAATGCATTCTCTTTAACAATATCTTCGTATGTACTAACACGTGGTCGATCATCTGCTGTTGCTTCGTCTCCATTAGCTGTTGATTGTCCTTGTTGTTTTTCGATACGAGCTTTTCGAACAGCATCGACTGTCTATTTAAATTTTCTCTATGTTCAATATGATGATAATAAATAAAATAAAACTCACAGCACGTTTAAAAGCCTTTTGTTTTTTATGACCTCGTCGACCCATCTAAAAAATTTAAAGGAAAAAATATACCATAACTGAAAATTACAGTTGCTCGGTTGAATAATACAGATGAAAAAGGGACAAAACAACGCGGATCAAACGCAAAAACAAACTATATTTGATTTTATAAAAAAAAAACTGATGAAGATTTTTTACATGTTTTCTAGTTCGTTCATGTTAAACATTAAATGATTCACCACAACCACAAGTTCCTTTTATATTTGGATTATTAAATATAAATTCACTTGATAATTTATCTCTCACGAAATCCATTTCTGTTCCCAACAATGTTAATTGTGCTTTCGGATCAATTAATAATTTAATACCATCTTGATTAACTTCTTCATCCATTTTCTTTTTTTCTTTAGCATAATCAAGTGTATATGATAAACCATTACAACCACGTTGTCGAACACCAATACGAAGTGCTAGAGAATCAGGTTTAGCATTTAAAAGTTCTTTAATACGACGAACAGCAGAGTCAGTTAATGTTATAGCAGCACGTGAAGGAAAATTTGTTAAACGTCTACCTTTATTAACTGCTCTTATCGAACCGGAAACCATTGATGAAGCTGCCATTATTTTATTGAAAAAGATGTTCCACAAGAACAACCTTGTTCAGCGTTTGGATTACCAATAATACGAAAACTTGATTTTATTAATTCTTCTTGATAATCAATTGTTGAACCTTTTAATAATTCTAATGAATCTTTATCAACAATAACTTGTACACCTTCACGTTCAAATATTAAATCTTCTTCTTTATTTAAATTATTTGCTTCAATTGTAAATCTATATTGAAAACCAGAACAACCACCACCTTCAACAAAAACACGAAGTTTTTGTGATTGATCTTTTATAATTGCTTGAAGACGTTGAACACAAGTATCACTTAATTTTAATTCCGATGCTGTTGATGCTGTTGATGCAAGAAATCGTTTTGATGATGATAATAATAAATAATGATGTTTAAGAATCGATCGAAGAAAGATGCTCATCAAAAACAGAAAAAGAAAACATATAATTCTATTAATCTCCTTTGTTTTTATGTATGTGTTTTTCTTTTGATAAGAATATCTGTTTGAGATAGTAATAAGAAAAAGTAAACGTGAAATAGAACGATACAGAAACAAGAAAAAAAACAACATTTAAAAGAGAATAGACTATTGCTAGAAAGATGTTGCATTGAGTTCATTGCGTATATTTGGATTACGCCAATCATTAGAAATCGAATCTAAATGATTATCAAAATCAATTATTTGACGATGTTGATTACGTTTAACAAGACTTAATGCAGATAAACGACTTTCATCATTGACAATATGTCTAAAAAGAGTAATTCATTTGTTTAATACATTCAAAAAGAAAAACTTACGTTTCGTTAACATTTTTCCAAGTTTTATCGGTCAATGTGAATACATTATAAAATCGATCATTTTCATTTAAATCAACAAGAGTATTGTCGATCTAAATACAAAAAATAAGTCTTATCAAAATATTTAACATATAACTTACCATTAATAAAACAGCATTCGGATTATTTTCTTTAATTTTTTCCATTATTCTTAAAGCCGTAAAATTTGGACTAATTAAAAAAAAATACAATGACAATGATAAAAATTTAAATTATTACTTCGGATCGGAATAATTTTCATTCGCATGATAATAACCAGCAATAGTTAAATTTCGTGTTGAACAATAAGCATCAATCTAGAAAAGAAAAAAACAACAAATTATTTTATATTCATTTATTTTTATTTGTAATTACTTGTGATAACGCTATTTCAAGCATAGGTGATAATGAAAGAACACCATGAAATAATGGAATACAATCAACAAAATTAAGATATGATGAATCAGCTTCATCATTTGCTGAATTACTTCGAACACCTAATAAAATACCATTTACAGCTAATTCAGGATATTTAGCTAGATGAAGAAACATTTTAGTAAACGCTAATGTATTGATTTCCGACATATCTAAAATAAAATTTTTAAGCAAATGATGCAACAATTATTCATCGTTTTCTAAGTAAATGACATCGATTGATTTAGATTTTAGTAAGAACTAAGCAAACCAATAGTATTTGAATCGTTTTATCATATGTTCAGAGACATCTCCAATGATGTCGCTAGTAGTCAATTGCAATAATTCAAATTTTTTTTTGTGGAAAATAATTATGAGTTTTATTTGATATACAAAGAATAAAAGCAGAGAAATAAATAGTTTGAAAAAAAGAAGAAGCAAGCCGGAATGTCGAGATTATTGATTATGATTAAAGATCACGAACTTGCATTACAAGTGAAAATAATGCTTCACGAACAAGTTGATTTTTATAAAAATTAGCAAATGGTAAGATCATATACTTAAATAAAATAAATGAATATTTAATAAATAGAAAATCTTTTATAAATTACTTGGAAAAGAATACTACGTCGTCTTGTATAAACTGTCCATTCAATACGTGTTGAATTCACATTTGTTGAAATATCTTTTAATTCAATTAGATTTGTTTCGAGTAACCATGAATCAACAGAATATATAAATTGTTTCGGCTGATCATCTGTATGAATTACTAAATCAAGTGGTACATCACCTAAATACAAGTTAACTATGATCTATATTATTAGTATATGACATAAAATTCGAACCAATTATAGGAAATTTCGTAATCAATCGATATTTTTCACCTTCATGATTATGCACACGTGATGAAACCAATTGAACATGTTCAACACGAGCAACATTTGGATACCACTAGACGAAAAAAAAGATATTCTATTATAAATAGTTAAAATGAAAAAAAACAAACCGATGTATATTTATCAATATTTGTTATAACTTTATACACCTGTGCTCGATCACATTGAACCGTAGCTGTTTTAGTAAACAACAAGGTTTTTCTATCGGATGTTGATGGATCAAGAGGAATTTCATATTTGCAAAGAATAGCAAATAAAATCATCAAGAATGAAATATATTTTAAATATGGTGGTAAAACAATTGCCATTTCTTTTTTATATTGGACACACAAAAACAATTTTACTTCTCGATTGGATCCCTGATGAATGTAATTTATTACTTTTTTTCTCTCACCAAAACCGATTTCCCTGTGGACTTTAAGAAAAACCAATGGAACATGAACAGAGTTTTCCATAAAAACAGATGGCATTGAATTCTTAACAATAGAGGGACATCTTTTTTTAATACTTCCATTTTGTTTAGTAAAAATAGAATTTAAAACATAGACAAATATAATAAAAAAAAAGCATTCTTTGAAAGGAGAGTAAAAATATATTTATGTGTCTGACAGATTAGCTGTTCGTTGTCGAATAATCTTTTCTGTCCATTCCCAAAATATATTAATATCATTATCTGTCCATTTATCCGCTAGATCAGTAACAGTAGAATCATTAAAAAATCGTCCACTTTCATTTTCTAGTCCTGGTTTCAATGCACAAAATACTGTAGTAGCTGCTCCTTGTTCAAGAGATTTCTTCTTTATAAATTTTGTGAAAAAACTTGCACATGGTACTTTTGAAGTTATATTTGTAGCAATAACTCCTGGGTGAAGTGAATAAGCTGTGATTTGTTCATCTTTATAATGTGATGTGAGTGCACGAGCAAATAGCATATTAGCTAATTTACTTTGTTGATAACTTCTTATCATTCCAAAATCTTTTTTTGCATTTGTTTCTGTACTACTCATATGATCTAATGCTTGATAATTTAAAGGTGGACCTGCATGTAATTCTGATGATAATATAACAATCCTGGATGGTGCATTAGCGATTAAAGTAGGCATTAGTAATTGTGTTAAATAAGCATGACCAATATGGTTAACTCCCATAACTTGTTCGAGACCATCAATAGTTTGAGTAAAATTATAATTAAAGATTCCAGCATTGAGTATTAATATATTCAATGGTGTATTTTCGCTGATGAACTTTTCAGCACATTTTTTAATACTTGTTAAACTATTTAAATCACAAAAAACACCTTGTACAGAACCACTTGTTGCTTTTTGTTGTAATTCTTTATTTATATTTTCAATAACTTGTTGAAGTTTTATTTCACTTCTACCCATTAGATAAACTTTTGCTCCAGCAAGTGCTAATACTCGACCGGTTTCAATACCTATTCCAGACGTTGCACCCGTAACGAGAATATGTGATTGTTTAACTTTACTATTTTCACCACATTCATTAATAACGTCTTGTGCAGTCATATTATAACGAGACTGTGAACGTGAATCACTCGAACCCATAACTAATTTCAATCTGAAAAAGTAAGAATAAAGAATTTAAACTGACTTCACAACACTTTTATTGACCAATTATAAAAATATGATTTGCAAAAAAAAACAGGATGATGATATCTATTATTTACTTTATGTAACATTAAAAACATCTATGACAAAATGTCAGAAAATATGTATTTGGTTACATAAAAAGATAAAATAAAAACATACACAGTCATAGACAGAAACGAACACGTGTGCAAGACACTTTACATTGAAATAAAGATTTGATAGTATAATAATACTTTTGACTTAGAAAAATGTTCTATTAATCTCTCAACGCGTAGTTGTAGACATAGTAAACAATAAATGATTGAGAATTAATTGAAGTGATTCTTCTTTATGATGAATATAGCGTAAAATTAGTAAATAAATACAACGCAAATCATAGTTTACTTTATCTACTAGTATTTTGCTTCATCATCATAATAACGCCCAAAAGTGAAGGAAAATAAAATACAATATTATCGTCGTAATATATATGTTACATAATGACTCATTTTTTTTCTCTGCGTACATTGTACTAATAAAATAATAATTATCAGATCAAATAGTAAGATTTGTATTTAATAATAAAGAAATGATTTCTTATAAGAAAATGATATGTATTTAAATCTTTTCGACTGCACTCTTTTGATAAGAGATGCCAGAAAAAGAAAACTAAGTGTCTATATTACAAGTCTAATATGTTCCACCAAAATTGTTTAGCTATTGTATATTCAGCTGGTTTACCATGAATTGCTCATGAACAATTCCAATTATTCACATCCTTATTATTATAAAAATCTGAAGAAGTTGGATTATCTCACCAAAGTATAATAGTTTCATTAAATACTTCACTATTGTTTTCAAGTGCTTTAAATCCCATATCTTGTAGTGTGAAATTAGCACTATAATTACCAAAACATTGTATAGGTGGAGTTGCAGATGGAATTGCTAGTCCAGCTAATGAACTTGGATATTCAACTTCAGTAGAAACGACTGGTTTTGATGAAGCATTTGATGATTGATTACTCAGCCATATTTTGAAATATTGAAAATAATCAGAAAATCTTTGAACCATATCTTGTTGTGAAGATATATTACCATCATTTGTTATATTAAGTAATGGTAGATAAAAATCCATACCAATAAAATCTAAGTCATCCCAGAAACCAATCTTTTGTGTTTCAATAGGATAAAATATTGAGCAATAAGTTAATAAACCAGAATAACCTCCTGCACGAATATTTCGAATTAGAGTTTTCTAATAAAATTTATAATTATTATTCGAAATTTTCATTAATTCTAATCCGACAGATAATGCAGCAATGTTAAGTTCTTTTATCATAATCGATAAATTAGAAAATATCAATAAATAAACATGTATCACCACAGCCTACAAGTGGTTTAATACAAGCACGTAGATTATATTTATGTGCTTCTTGTACAAAAATAGACCAAACATGTTTAGATGGAGTTCTTTCTTCAAAATATACTTCATTTGAAATATTACTATCTTGTCGAAGAAAAAAATCAACTGCAACCCAATTACTACCTAGTAATGCAATTGCCTTCAATGAATTTAATGTATCTGGCATTGAAAGAGTTGTAGAATTAAATGGAAATATATATTATATACTTTAACGTATTTTTAATATGCGCAATATGAGTCATTATGATGATATTCAGAGTATAAATAGACATAGGTGTTTGTCTTTTGCGTGCAAGTTATCAAACGTATATGATATCGAGGAGATTCTTTCTATATTTATAAGAAATAATAATGAAAGTTTAGATAATTAAAATATTTGAATACAATAGTAAAGTAATATTGACAAAATTTATTGTCTAGACCGGATATTATCAACTAGTATTTGAATTCATAAATAGAATTTTTTAATTTTCTACAAAGAGCAATTATTGTCAAATATGATTTATATTCGTATTTTGTTTATGTATAATATCGTTTCAGTAATACTACAATAGCTGTTTCAAAAGATTTGTAAATTTAGAGTTTTTTTTGTACTAAAGTAATAGTATATTAAGTTAAATATATTCGTCTCTGGCAGGGATGTGAAGATTAATTCATGCTTTCAGGAAAATTTCAACGTCTGTTGATAAAAGTATTTTCTTTACGATAATCTGACCCTTAGAAAACGCGTAGCCGTATATTTACTCTCTTATTAAAATTATAAATATAGAACTATTCTTCGCATTTGTTTCAAACATCGTAACCCATCCCTTGGTCACGAACTCATTACTCTTCAGAACGCTATTTGTGGAATATTCAATGAATATCTCATTTTCTTTTACTCTATATTTGCATAACAAATATTTATTATCATAGCTATTTTCAAACGACCATATTTATTATTAATCAAGAACGAACAGGTTATCAAATTTGAACATGAACTTAGAATACACAGAACACTTCAATATGCATCATTAAGTTTTCTTACTCTATGTCTTCCTACGCTTTTCTATAATGACGTCAAAATGTAGATGTTTTTCTCCTTGTTCTATTTTTATGAGAAAACATTCTTCTTTTCTCTCTTGAGAATATTCTTACTATAGACGTGCAACACTTAAAATTTTTCAATGTATACCAATGAAAGTTTTTGTTTTCAAAATTCTACAATCGCACATGAATGTTCATCATGTTCCTATGGACCCCTGTGTCAGTTTACAACAGCATATTATAGTATTACATCTTTACAAACATTCTTATGTTCATTTGAATCTATTCCCAATATTCTTCTTCTCAGTATTCTTTTTCTCGGTAGTTTATGTAATTTATTTTCTATGGGCACATTTTGTCAACGAAGTACACGTGAAATGGGAAGTGGAATCTATCGTTTATGGATATCAATTGTTGGTCAATTTGGTTTAATGGTTGTTATTAGTCATATACTTCTTGAAAAAACTCATAATAAAACAATTGGTTGTTTTAGTATGGAATATCTTCGTAAAGCTCTTCATGCTTTATATGATTCATTAACCGCTTGTATAGCATGCGAACGAACTATGGTTATTTATGAAGGTATTTCATTTAATAAAATTGGTAGTCGACGAGTAGCTAAATTAGTTATACCAATGTTATTTGTATATCATTTTATTAATATTCTCTATGACCCATTTATTCGTCAATTAAATGATTCATCTGAACGATCTTGGTGTATATTAAAATTTAATGATTATTCAACGGGTATTTTTGAAAGTGCAAGAAATATAGTTCATTTTACTATACCTTATTTTCTTAATTTAATTTTACCAATTTTTTGGATTATAACTTTAACAAAACAAAAAACAAGATTACATAGAACTACTTCAACATGTGTAAATTTTAGAAATGTTATACATACTTATAAACATACTGTTATCAGTTGTTATATTCTTGTTCTTTTAAATACACCTCGATTTATTTTTACATTCTATTTAACTTGTATCAAACAGCAATGGCAAAATACAGCTTATATTACTGCTTATTTTCTCTCAATGGTTCCATTTATGTCTAATCTATTTATCTTCGTTTTACTATCACCAAAATATCGACCTGATTTTTTCGATTTTATTCAACGTATTGTAAGATATATGCATAGAAAACAATACGAATTAACATAATTACTGTTCGTATACATATATACTATCAAATCGGAAATGAATTCGACGAATTGTTCATGTTGTTTGTTTTTATTTAAATAAAAAGAAATCAATGTTATAAACATCTCCTCTCTTTTTTTTTAATCCGATATCGTGTAGTATTAAACTTTACAATTCTTATCTTTGAATAATATTTATTTAGTGTATATTCTACTTCATACCTTGACTGTATTTCGATCAAGGTATATGTATATTGAATAGGTTTTATGATGCATAAAGAAATGAAACAGTTTATTTGCATAATAAATATATCCTTTTAATCCTAATACAGTAGCAGTATACCTAAACCCAATAAGTAAGTTCGATATGCACTGCCATCTACCTCGAATTTACGATATTTGTCCGAAAAGCTCTATGACCTGGAACTCGGACGTTGCAGTAATTATTTTCATCCATAACATTTAATTATACTCTCATTATTTTTTCGCACTCTACGTATTGTTTTTAAATAATTCTTTGTAATTCAATAGTGTACTCATTTGAACTCTATACTCGTTGACTTCTACGTCACAAACATAGAGTTTTGTAAATAAATGGACAATGCCATGATAAAATATAGTCTAGAGATAATTAAAAAAAATAAATTTTGTTTATTTTGTTAATTGTACTTGTTATTTTTTTAGATATCTGATTATTTTTATCTTTTCTTTCATTCTTTTACGTTCGATTAAGTTTAATCAGCGTAGATAAACGATAATTTTTACCTGCACGTATCGAATGCATAATTGTATGTACGAGTTAATAACCAATTAAAAAAACGAAAAAAAAAAACGAATCATGTCGATATCAAAAATAAAACATGCTGCAAAATCTTTAAAAACATTCCAAGGTATTCATTTTGAAAATTGCCTGGACAATGGTGAAACAGCGGAACAAATGAATAAATGGCTTTTAGAAGTTTCATGGGAAGTAGCTAATAAAGGTAAAGAAAATTGTTCTGTTTTATTTTCTTTCTTTTCATTGTTATGAAATTTTAGTTGGTGGAATTTATACTGTTATTCGTTCTAAAGTGCCTATAACGAAAAAAGAATATGGAAATAATTATATTTGTTTGGGACCATATAATGATTCATTTGTTAAAACTGAAGTTGAAGTTAGTGAATCAAAAATTGATGCGATACGTGAAACAGTTAATGAAATGAAACGTTATGGTGTTCATGTAAATTAAGAAGAAAGATTTTATTTTTATTTATTATAATAATTCTTCTAGGTTGTAACTGGTAATTGGTTAATTGAAGGTTTTCCACAAGTTGTTCTCTTTGATATTGGTTCAGCAGCACATCGATTAGATGGTTGGAAAGGAGATTTTTTTGAATATGCTCATATTGGTATACCATATCATGATCGAGAATCAAACGATGCATTAATATTTGGTTTTTGCGTTTTTTGGTTTATTGGTACAGTAAGTTGAAAAAAAAAATAATTAATTCGTATATATATGTATATGTATATGGATTATTTTTCTTTTGTTAAGTTTATTGAACAAGTGAAAAAAATTAAGAAAAGCTATGTTATTGCTCATTTCCATGAATGGTTAGCTGGTGTTGGTCTTGTCATGGCACGTCTTCGTGGTTATGATTGTGGATTAATATTTACAACTCATGCAACTCTTTTAGGACGATATTTATGTGCTGGTTCAACTGATTTTTATAATCGTTTAAGTCATGTAAGAATATTTCTATGAAAAGAAAAATCAAATACAATTTCGTTATTATATATAGTTTGATCTTGATAAAGAAGCTGGTGATCGTCAAATATATCATCGTTATTGTATTGAAAGAGCTGCTGCATCTTGTGCACATGTATTTACAACTGTATCAAAAATTACTGGCATTGAATCAGAATTTTTATTAAATAGAAAACCTGGTAAAACTTTTTTTTGCTAATATAATTTTTTATTTTTGCTAGAATTATTATTTAATTTTTGCTCATAGATTTATTAACGCCCAATGGGCTTAATGTTCAAACATTTGCTGCATTGCATGAATTTCAAAATTTACATGCACAAAATAAAGAAAAATTAAATGCATTTGTACGCGGACATTTCTACGGGTAATTTCTAATAAGTTTTCTTTTCCTACCTATGTCTATAGATATTTTAACACCGAATGGTCTTAATATTCGATTATATCGACGTAAACCACGTTCGATGTGGTCAGCAGATCCAATATTTATTTCACAAGAACGAATAGCAAATTTTATACAAGGACATTTCTTAGGGTAGAAAATTAAAATTGAACAAAATTATCTTTTGCAAATTTAATATTCGTTTAAATTTTGGAGTAGAAAAAAAATTTAAATTAAAACTTGATTACTTTATTTAGACATTATGATTTTGATTTGGATAAAACATTATATTTCTTTATTGCTGGTCGATATGAATTTTCAAATAAAGGTGCTGATATGTTTATTGAATCATTAGCTCGATTAAATCATATGCTTAAAGTATGAAAATATTCTTTTTCTTTTGTTATATAAATTCTATTTTTTTTTAAGTCATCTGGTTCGGATGTAACTATCGTCGCATTTATGATCTTTCCAACGCCAACAAATAATTTTAATATCGAATCCTTACGTGGACAATCTGTTGCTAAAATGCTTCGTGATACAGTACAAAATATTCAAAGTGATATTGGAAAACGACTTTATGAAATTTGCTTAAAGTAAAATTTTGACTTATTATTTAGATAAAAGCAAAAAACAATAGTTCATTGAAGTATTCTTTTCTTCTGCACATATACTTGATTAAAATAATAGCTCTCGATTATAAACATCATCAATATTGCCTAAAAGCATTCATTATAGATAGAAATGAGTCTAGATCATTTTGTTAAGCCGAAAGCAATCTTTAATACTATACGTTTTATTTTTTTGTGATAACATATTAAAACAGTCACGTGACATATGTGTTGAACTCTCGTAAGTACACGCCTTTTTT